GGGGTGGGGTTGTAGGAGTGAATGCTTATTTATGGGCGAGGGAAATCTCTGACCGAGTGGTCAAACTAATTCTATGAGGCAGAGAAATCTTCAATTCTACAGTTGACCCTCTAAATATAATATTGGGTCTAAGCCTTCAAGTCTACTAATTAATAGATCTCTCTGAATTATATACCAGATTCTTCTCTACTAATACTAATAGAATACCATGTGTACATGTTATGTATAGCTGGTATTTTGATCATTGACTGTCAAATATCTTTTGTTGAATATGTATAGCTGGTAGGTCAAATTTGGCTCTCCAATGCATAATTAATAATCTCAAGGTCTATTAATCAATAATTCTTCACTAAATATAGTAATATTGTTAGATATACTAATTAATATTTCTCAAGGTCTATTAATCTCAAGGTTTAATAATATATACTAATTAATATTTCTTGTACTTGTAGTACATTACATGGTATAAAATAGATTTTTCTGTATATGACTGATTCGCGTCAAAATATATTATATATAAATTTCGTGTAGAATTGGTATTTTGACAGTCTTAACATATAATATTTAACAAGCTAGTTGTCTCTAATTATAAATAATTACATTCAATGCTTGGTCCAATAGTGTATAATAATTACTAATAACTTATTGATAATTAAGATATATGCTAACAACTTATTGATAATTAAGATATAGATTTTGCAGTATAATATTGGATATTAAATACTTCTCTATTCTATATTATGACAATATATCATGTATATTTGGTTCATACACACACATTTAATGAAAACAAGGGGGTTACATCTCTATGTTTGTAATAATAGTTTTTTTTTTTTTTTAATATTTGTGTGTATGTTGAAAAGACAGATGGAGAACTTAAGAGGACATTTTTTCCTATATGGTTGGCTAAGGTTCCTTATAAGGTTTTTAAAATCGAATCAGACAATGAACTGGTCAAGCGTTCGGTTTCTTGGTCGAATGGTCTGACTGTTTGAATCAAATAAATGACTCGTTCTAACAAAAATAAAAAAAATGATCAAAATCATTGGACAGTTCAAACGGTTTAACCACCTGGGCCAGCTGTTTGCTGATTAAATCAATGGTTTTTAGTGAAATAATGGTTCTGGGTAAAACGAAGCCGATCACCTGACCAATTCTCGGTTTTTCCGATCTGATTCGGTTTTAAAAACCCTAATTCCTTATCTAAACAACCCTAGTTCCGATCCGGTTTTGACCAATCAACTGTCTTTCATTATGAAACTTCGAGGAATTTCCACATGTTCACATTAACTGGACCTTTTATAAATTAAAGAGATATTAGAGTTGCCCCCCATTGTTCTTCTTTAAAGCATTTGTCTTTGATTATATGAAAAATGTCCAAAAATGAAATTTGAGTAGGGGCTTAAACTTTTCGTCAACAGACTTATAACCACAACGACAAAAGCAAGAAAGAAAGAAAGAGAAAAAGGTAAGGAAAAGGAAGTAAGGAAGAAAGACTTCCCTTGAACAGAGGAGGATAGAAAGGGGAACAGTTGGATCCCTACTGGACTGAAAACTACTATTTTGCTACAAGTAATTAAGATTCTTGTTTATTTAATTTCTAGATCTCCTACTCCAAATTATTCATCTTAATCTCTAGTGGGTCAATTCACAAACAAACTCTATATTAGACCTAGTGGGTCAATCAAGACAACTTTCATTATAAAATATCTTTGTGAAGGGACCCAGCTCCCTGTATGTTTGCCACATGGACAGATAGAATAATGATCTACCCTAATCACTAATTTGAGAGAATTGGTCAACAGAACCATACTATACCACTAAAAAGTTGTCAACTACAAATCCACCCAGGAGGTTTAATTTGTCATTAAACAACCCAATCCAGCCAGCATTCCACTGGTCCCCTCAAAAATAGAACCACTCGTTAATTGAGTGGAGCCGACTTGGATTGGTCCTTCGTGTCTGAATAACCATTGACTTGTTGACTGAAAAGTTTCAGCAGTTTCAGACTACTAAATTATGAAATGTGTAAAAGGGGAATAACATATAGTAAACTGTATATTCTCTTCTCTAGAAAGGTAGAAGTCTGCCGTGTACTCCACTTCTTTCCCTTCAATCAGGGGATTGCTAGCCACACAAGTCACAAGCTGGGTGCGCTATTAAAAGCATAAAACATAACTAAAGCTATTCATTCCTGTTTTGATTAGTATATGAGGTTTAAGAATTTATTAACCCAGACAAGAGATTAGCTTTTTGTCTTTGGTGCTTTTAAAGGCTGCACTACTTAGAAACTCATGTGCTTAGCATTTCTAACTGGGTCCTTTGTTTGGGGTTTATTTAATAATTTATCTATTCATTTATTTATTTATTTTTTTACTTTTGGCAAAGCTAAGCTATTGATTCCTGCAATAATTTTGCCAAAAAATTTACATCTTAGAAAAGAATAGATTTCTAAAAAGTACAGCCAGTGATCTGACATCATCATCATTTTTTGGAGCAATTTTCCTAGAGTGATCATGAGCAGGTAGAACTAATGCTTTGGATGATGGAAGCCCATGTAAGCGTGAGGTTTTTTGTGTTAATTACAATCAATCAATGTTCTCAGATTTGGGCCAGACCAGAATTGGACCGGCAGAACCCGGACCCAACAGCTACAGTGATTTTTTTTTTTTGGTTGCTCATTCGGATCTTTGAGACTTTGAAATGTTAATTTGTTCATATTTAATTGCCCCATTTGCATGTTATGTGTATATCCATGAAAGCTAACCTATACCTATTTTGATTTTTTTTTTAATTTTTATTTTCCACATTTTTATTTGACTGAATCTTACTTACGGTTAAACCGTTTGATCCATGATTCAATTACCAAACCGGTCCGAATCTGATAACAGTGTTGATTATTATAGAAGCAATACATTTTTACAGATGCCTTTTACCTTTCTTGCTTTGCACCACAGAGTTGTGTCGACATTGCATTTGCATCATAAAGGTTTTCATGCTAAAATCCGATGTGACTTTATGCTGAAGCACATGAACCTAATTGCAAATTAAAAAAAAAAAAAAACTGCAAGAGTATAAGGTGCAACTGAATGTACTTCGAGGTGCAACTCCCAGCTTCACAATGTGCAAGTTACTGGTTTGGGAGGGTATTAAACAAGAGGTAGCCGGCCGGACCCACAGAAAAAGCGTTGAAAGAAAGAAGAAATTAAAAGGAAATTAAGCTTTTAAGTAAATGGAGCCCTCAGCTCACCAACCCATGTCGCAGAAATGGTGGATTGGGCCACCGAATACTTTTCTTTGGACAGCTTGAAGCCTTGAGCAAGTGGACGTTGTAGGTCTCTTTCACATATAGATCAAACAGTACGTGGTTGGCTGTGAAGATGATTTCTGAGGCCTTATCTCGTCCTCCGATCAATCCGGCGGTGGTTGAGATGTCCCAACTGCCATGAAAATCAAAAATCAATGGGGACCCACCATTCCTGATGATTCTTAATTCATTGTTTCCTCTTCTTATATTTATAAAACCAAACCAAACTCATTCAGTTGAGCAGTTTTTCCTACCAAAAGCTAGCATACCAGGTCTTCTGCTCTCTTCTTTTTGCACAGAGAGAAGAAGATTCAGGAAGAAGCCATGGCTACAGATGATTTCAGCTTCCCAACAATTGCAGAGCCTGTTCCTCGCTTCATGGGGTCTCCATCTCTGTGGAAGGCTAGCTCTAGAGTTTTGCCTGAGCCTTGTCTTGGGGATAGCGGAGGAGGAGGAGGAGATAGAGAAGAAGCAGAAGATTGCACTGGTCTCAAACAAGATGAGCATTGCAGAAGAAAGAGTTTCTCATCAATTGAAAGCGTTGTGAGGAGAGCAGACGCTGGTTATCTCAGTGAAGATGATGAGGAGAGGATGGACATGTTGTGGGAAGACTTCAATGATGAACTGAAACGAATTTCTTCCATGGGAAAGACTGAAGCAAAGAGTAGGTTATCCAAATTTGCTGGGTCATCAGAATCAGACTCGGATGCACAGGGAGAGATGGTGGAGATGTACTGTGTTCAGGCCCCGAAGATGTCCAAGACAAGCAATGCTATTCTCTCTTCTAGGAGATCAAGCTTGTTGGTGTTAATGAAGGTCTTCAGAAAGATGTTCTTGCTTCACAATCATCGCCCCAAGGGAAGAACACCATGATTAATTGCATTTTCCTGGTGCTTGCCTTCAATTCAAGCTTCATGGTTGGGCAGAATTAAGTGCAAATTAAGCAGCTTAATTCAGTCAAGGTTTTTTTCAGAGAAAATGGTAATGGTTAGCATGAATGTGTATATGCATACAGCCATATTTACTGTGTATAATATATAGGAGAAATTTGGAGAGGTTAATTGTTGCTTAATTGGTATCTGAGACATGAATCTTTTTCTTTTTGCTTCTTGATGAGTGGATTGAGAACTATATATAGTGTGAGTTGACTCAATATAGTCAATTAATTAAGAGATAATCTTGTTCAAGATGTATAGGAGGGAGAAGGGTATCTCCATCTAATTGCAGAGAACATTTGCTTGATTTTTCTATTAATTTCTTCAGAAATATATTATTGTTAGTCATGAAGTTTACCATGCTTTGGGAGTGATTTAATTTGGGCACCACCAAACTTTACTAAATTTGATGCTCCTTAATGGACAAGGATAGAAGTCTGGAGTGCAGTAGCTTTTATGAAGGAAAGCCCTCTGTCCATTAGAATAGTGATGCTTTTGTTGGGTGAAAAGACAGAGAGAGAAAGATAGCTGTCCTTTAATCAGCTCTCACCCCAATCATTCTATTTGTAGGTAAAGAATCAGCTTTCCATGCCTTTATTTTTGAAACATTTCATATGAGCTGAAAACGCTCCTTTTCTGTTCTTGCCATCCGGTTTCATTTTTTTTTAATGACGAAATTGCCCAAGTGACACAGCCTTCTCATCAAATCCCAATTGGACCCTTACCATTCCTACTTTATCCAAGTGACACAGCCTTCATTTTATCTTGATTTCCTTTTAGAGTACGAAATAAATTGCTTTTAGAATCAAGACAAAGCATTCCAAGGGTACGGGATTATTTCATAATTAATTGGAAAAGCACTTAATAATTACAAGATTCATGACACCATCAAGAATCAGTGCCTTCATTACGTAGCAATTGCTGGGAGGTGGAGCTAGATATTTTTGCCTAGCGTAACTAGGGGTGTCAATTGGACTGGACTTGGTCCAATCCAATCCAGTACTCCAATGTGAATCCATTATAAATGGAGCAGGTCTAATCCAATCCAATGTATGTTTTCGATATATTTGGATCGGCCCAATTCAATGTCTAAGCTATTTAATCTGTTTAAATTCATTTTGATTTAGATTGGTTTCAATCCAGTCCTGGTCTATTGACACATATATTCTTATCTTACAACAATAGATTAGATATTGACTTAATCTAATCCAATCTAATATAAATTTATTATGGACAGACTGGGTCTAATCCAATCTAATAAATATTTTGGACTGGATTGGTCCAATCCAATATGTCTTGTTAGAAGATTTTAACAGAGGGGATATACTTAAATTTTAAGGAAGATGATTGCAATTATCAAACTTAAGAAAAGATTATAGAAACAGTCAAAAACTTCAGGGGAGGTTTTAACAATTTATCAAAAAACTTATACACCTGACTGTATTATTTTACATAGTATGCTTTTCCTTATGTTGACCGGTTATAATAACCTAACCAATACCGGCGACACTACATTTTTAAATGATAAAAAAAAACGTATTCTTTGGGTTTCTCTAATAATATAAATGTATTAACTTGTACAATTTGCTTATTTTAACCAACTGCCCTCCTGTATTGAATTTGTAATAAATTTATTTAATGTAATGCGTTTTATATTTTGTTTTTATTTGGTATTTTGAATAGACTGTTTCTCTTAGTTTGGTGGTTATGGTTGTAAGATTTTTGATAATAACATATACCTTCTTTGGATTTCTAATATTATAGTTATGTTTTTGACAAGGAAAGGAAAAATAAATACACAATGACATAAACACCCCCAACATTTTACATATTTGGTAAATTCTTATTCTCAAATCCCACGTATTCTCCAATTTGTTCATTACAAGTACTGCCTCCATTTTCGTTTTAATTTGGGATCATCTGAGCAAAAACTCAAAAAAATTTAGGGCAAAATGCAAATAGGTACTTTATCCTTTGGGATAGTCTCATTTTAGGGTTTAAACTTTCAAATGTAACACTTTAGTACCTAAACTTTCAGAAATATAGATTTAAGTTTACATTGATAATCTAATGTTATGCTTAAATTACAAAAATGTTCATGTTCTGACTTTTTTCCGGTTTGCATCAGAAAATGCACATTTTTGTAAATTTACCCCTTAGTTGAAAGGAGTTAGACTTAAATGTGAACTTGTGAAAATTTAGGTGCTAAAGTGATACATTTAAAAATTTATTCTCTAAAATAAGACTATCCCAAAAATACAGGATGTTTATCTGCAATTTATGCAAAGGATTATTATCTAATTGAAGGTTAATTTTTACCGAAATTTGAATGGGCCGAACCTAAAACCCGAAATGAAAATAATGTAATGCGTTTATGGGCCGACCCCAAAGCCCGGCCAGTGAACAGGTCCGTCTACCTTTAATTACTCAATTTGTGATATTGTTCTCATAATTCAAGAAAAAAAGAGAAAAACGATGAATTTTTAATCTAACCATCCAAACAAATACTAATATTCAGATTTTTTATTATTTTTTTTGTAAAGCATTTGATTTTTTATTTTATGCCAAATTCAACTTAAGTGTATTATTGATATATTTTGGTATCCAATATTTGATTTGGACAAATACAAAAATAAAAAAAAAAGAAAAAGATTTGGACATTCCAAATCAGATGATGCGGTTGATCTGGGTCCGCATGACTTGTAAGTTTATATGGTTGATCTGGGTCCACCAGAATCACCAGATGGTGTGGCAAAACCATGTACAAATCTAGACTTTTAAGGGTCCATTTGGTTTGGTTAGTTCACAATCGGAATCGAAATAAGAATCTAAATTGGAATGGTATATTCCTCTACCTGTTTGGGTTAGATGGAAATTGAAATTAACTGGAATGACATTCTCATTCTTAATGAGGAGAGAGGGAATAACTATTTCTTCAAATGGGAGAATGTCATTCCATTAAAAATGAGAATTAGATTTTAATTCTGTCCAATCAAAACAGTTAGAATTGAAATAGATCATTCTAATTTCGATTTCAAACCTCTATTTCCGCCATGGTTTTCAAAATCGGATCGGACTGGATAGTTGGACCAAAAAAACCGAGATTCAGTTAGGTGATCGGTTCCATTTTACCTTAAAACCGTTATTTTACAAAAAACTTTTGATTTGGTCAACAAACCACTGACCTGGATGGTCGAACCATTCAAACCATTTGAACTGTCTAATGATTTTGACAATTTTTTAATTTTTTTGTCAGAATGAACCATCTATTCAATTCAAACGGTCGGACCGTTTAACTCGACTGGTTAGTTGTCAGGTTCGGTTTTAATAACCTTCCCGCAAATCAAATGGATTCTAAATTTTATACCAACTCTTAATCCACTTTAAAGTGACAAAGTGGGGGCTGGGATCCGCTATCCACGAGCTATTCTCACATCTCTACCCATGTGATATTACAGCTGCATATCGGGAATATCTTCTCTGCCATTCAAGGGGAGATGTTCCGAATACATGGCGATGGTGCTCTGCCATCTCTGCCATCCAGGCTAGGGCCTACTAATTTGTAGAAACCCAGTACCGGCCCATGTTGATGCTGGCTCTAAAATATACGCAAAAAGTGACGTTTGGATTTTGTTGAAGGTTGGTTTACGCGAACTCGAGAACCGATCGGGGCTTCGGTCTTCCACCAAACTTAATATAAATATTCGAAGTTGGACTTCTGGGCCTAGGAAGCCATGGCGCAACAGAGCAAGGAGCCGTGCAAGAAGGAGGCCTGCGACATTCAAGCTTGCCTCTCCAAGAACAATTTCATCCCTCAGAGGTGATTCTAATTCCTTTCTTTCTCCTTGTTCTAACTTTTTTTCTCTCGAATTTCCATTTTTTTGTCCTTTTTATTTGACATATTTAGATGAGAATGCACATTACTGTTTTCATTGATTGGGAGATTTTGATGGTTAAGTTCTTGGATAAAATTTTGATGCTTTTCTGCCTTCTTCTTGCGCTTAATTTGGGGAATTACTCAATTAGATAAAAGCTATACATTTTCATGTCCAAAGTAGAATACAGATTCATTTCCATGTCTGTCCCGTTAGTTTATTTCTTACCCAATAAGGCCAAATTTCTTAGTTCGTCGCACAAAGTTGTGAACTTTGTGTTACAAGTCCTCTGTAGCAGGAGAAATGGATTCTTCACCATTGATCATATGCTCTGTCCAGTGACGGCTTATACAGTTATACTTGATCGACTCTTGGCTTTTTCTGCTGAAAAATTGAAAATGGGTATCAAAATGTAACGAGAGTAGAGATCGAGAATTTTTTTTTTTTTTCTTTTTGCTTCAATTATTGAGGGCGTTTATGGAAGAGATGCAATGCTACAATCTACGTCACTTGCACAAGGTTTTATTCCTGTGGACAAAAACATCTGAAACATCCAGCATATATACCTTCTCATATTAGGGTCTAGGGAATACTCTTTCCAGGCCTTATTTGCCCCCAAGAATGTGGTTGTACCACTGGTTGATGCATAATGGATAGATAAGACTGACTATGTCTTTGTTGTTTACCATCTATGGTATTCTTTTGTCCTGAGGCTACCATTGTTGTTTCTGTAATTTATCAATTACGGGTGTGTATCTTTTTTAATATTGCTTTCTGTCCTTGCAGCAGTATTCTTGCCATCAATTCTAAATGACTGATTTCATGACATTTCTTTTTAATACTAATTTCTCGGTTTTGCAATTGATTAGATTTGAACTTTTCAATCTTTAGAGTGCTTATTCTTATGCCACCTTTCAGAACCAGAACCTCAATTTCTATGTTTTATTAGATTTGAAGTTATTGAGGCTTTTCAAAGTCGGTCACTTTTCATTTTCAGTACTCATTTCCTATAGGCATTCTCCATCTACTTATCTATATGCTGTTTTCTGTTCACTTTTTGTATTGAGCATTCTCTTTAGCACAATGGCCTTTTTATTAGGCCCCATTCATTTTTACTTACCTGGGTAAGAGCGTTTACCTAGGCAAGTGTTTCCCAGGTAAAACTTGCCTGGGTAAGCATGATTCCAGCGTTCTTGTACACTAACAGTTACCTGGGTAAAGAGAGAGGTGAGAGGGAGAGAGTGCTTACCAACGTGATTCAGCGGATGGGTAATGGGACCCAAAATAGCAGAAAACAAACACAGGTATTGTGGTCAACTTACCAGTTGACCAACTTACCCCCCACTAAATACCAGAAAACAAATGGGGCCTTAGTGGTAGATCAACCAAGTGCTGAACTAGCTCTAAATGATTAGGCAATCTATCATGAGAGCTGACCCAGTTACTGGAGATGGATATCAGGACTTGTTTTGTGACAGGGAATCCATCATCAGTTAAGTGATCATACACTATGATATGGTTGATACCTGGATGCCTCTACATGCCTAGCGTACCACTGTTGGATGCCAGACATTGCATGGATACTCGTTGATGTACTTTATAGCATTAACACTTTTAAAATATGAAAAGTGGTATGTTTTAACAAATTTTACTATAAAAATATCTGTACGTGTTAGAAATTTAATTAAATTTGGCGGGACATAAGTCTTGGAAAATGACATTTAGCTTCAAAAGCTAGATATAAGCACATGTTATAAACATATTACATTGGATACTGATAACTGTATCCCAGCATTTGGACCTAAACCTAGCTGATGTGCCTGCCCCCAAAATTTGGAACCCGATCTCCCCCTCAAAGGACAATGCTCTTGGCTGGGCTGCGGTGTTAGACAGGTGCTTAACGAATGTGAACTTGGCTAAAAGAGGGGTGCTAGTCCAGGACCAATTATGTGTTCTTTATGGTCAAGCTTGGGAGGACAATAACCACCTGTTCCTCCATTGCCCTGTGTCTTCTGCCATTTCGTGGCACTTTTTCTCAGCCTTGGGGTTAGCTTGGGTTATGCAGAATAGAGTTCTGGATCTGTTGTGGTGTTGGGATCTTCAAGGTCTTCCAAATCTTGCAAAGTGTGTGGGTATCTATTCCAGCTGCAGTTGTAAGCACCATCTAGTCTGAAAGGAATAGACAACTTTTCCAAAATGTCTCCAAAGATTTGGATATTTTAATTTCTTTCACCTTTGGCAAGCTGGTTTCTTGGGTTTCAGTTGCAAAAGGGCTTCATACCTCAGGCTTAGGGGCTTTGTTGAGGGCAAGGAGCTTATTTGAGTTGTAATCTTGTATTGGGGGTGGGAGTGGGGGTTGGGCGGTTATATTTACCTTTTCTCAAAACAAGACAGGTCCAGCATGGACGGTTATATTCTAAGATAAAAATCTAGAAAGAGAAAAACTACCCTTGAAATTAGTGTGTTTTGATCCCCTGCTTTAAGGAATTGATGAATGATTCTTGATTATGTTAGAGCTTGACAGATGATATGCTTTTGTCAAAAATGGACAATAGAAATGAGCTGACTGGAGCCCCACACATCCAGCTAATTATGTAGCTAAATGAACACCTGAATGTTCTGTTTCATTTACAGTTTAAACTTAAGGATCTAATTAGATTTTGATTTAAAATTGTTTGGGCCTGGTTATTTCTAGTTACATTTTAACCTTGCTTGTAACTCCGCTCTAGAAGCCAAACACACATTAGGAGTTTCCTCAATTTGGCAAAACATTCTTTGACAAAAAAGTATCATAAGGGAGGCAATATGATGGTTAATTGGCTAAGGCTGCCAATTCAAGTTCTTTGTGGATTTATGGGCTAAAGGTCAACCTTTTATTTCCTTGGTTCTCTTAAAAAAGTTGTGGTTGATCTAACTTCCATACTGCAGAATACTAGACAGGCTGAACTTGCAATAGAGGACATAGAACCTATGGAATTATCTCATAGTAGCAGTTTCATTTTCTGTAGAGAATGAACAAGATAATTTAGTGCGGTGGCCTACCTCCAACAGCAAGTCTAGTGAACCCAGCTTAAAGAATCAGGGAAGTGAACGACATGGTGTATGTGGATCCTTTTATATGTATTCAATGTCCTTCAAAGATGAAGCATTTTTCCATGTTTTGTAAGTTGTAATTCATAACGGACTGCCTTTCTTAGGATTCTGGAAGGTACTAGCATTGCCCCAGAAAACAAATGCCCTATGTGTCAATCTCAAAAGTAAGACCTTGGTCTCTCTCTTGTAGAATGCAAAATTGCAAAGAGGTTCCAGAACGTATTCCTGCCTTGTTAAACTGTATTTACTTAATGAAGATCCCAACACGTTATTATGGTCATTCAAGGGAGCTACCAACCAACCCAGTGAATGCCCATAAGCCCACTCATCATTTTGAAATTATGGGTGAAATTGGTAAATTTTCTGTAATGAAGATTACCCTCCAAGCTATCATAGTTCACAGTCACAGGGCATCAATTATTTTGCTTAATCAACAAGGTAAACTCAGTAATCAAGAAGAGGAATAAAGGAGAAGAGAAGAGAGAGAAGTTTGAGAGAGAAGCAAAAAAGTACCAGAATACTCATGGTTGTGTAATACAGTATAAGTGAAATATGAATAGACATAATAAAAAGAAACTGTAATTTCTCAACAACAACCAATATATTTATGCCCTTGAACTGCAAATAAGTTCTGGCCTAAATGCATTGGTGACAAATGAGGTACAACTCATTCAGTGAAAAAATGGTGACTTCGAAGGAGAGCTAGTTTATCAGATACCTACTCAATTAATGTAGCTGAAGCACATATAGTTTTCTTTGGGATCAATCTGCTGCTGCAAAACAGATTCTAAGGAATCCACTTTTGTGGTAATTCCACTATCACTCTTCATGATTTACTTAGAAAGAGTGTCATCCTATGACCGATTCTCATAAATGCAAGTTACCCCATACATTGAGAACAATGTGGCAAATTCAAAATCATTAACAACATGAGAGAAGGAAACAAGTCAGCAAGGCGGCATGGTCAAATAAGGATGACAGCCATGAACTCTGAATTTGGGAAGGTATTTCAATTAGTAACCATTATCAAAAGGGAATATTTTAATGAAAAAATGGGAATTGTTAAGATATAACAGGAGGGAGCAAAACAAGTAGAAACAACAATTAGCTGATCAAAGGATGGCACCAATGCCCAACTGGATAATTCCAACTTGAGAAGAAGACCAAAGTCGGTGCTTCTGCTACTGATGCTACATTCAAGGAGTATCTTTCAAACCAGCCACAGCCTGACATCCTCTGAAAATATATCATTGTCTATATATATGCCAGATCAAATATTCTTCTTTTCTACATAATTTACCATACTTATGTTGCTTGGAAAAGTGAAGTGGCAATCTGAACAATCCATTGGATACAGGACCCTTAGTGCTCTTCTCCCCTAGTCCGAATCAACCCTATACAGATCTACCACCTGACCACAACTTGTATTGGATTTTTCTGAGTAATGTGATCTGTATAAAGTTCACACCACTGCCTGTGTAATTAGCAAATGAATCATCTAATACATTTATCACTTTGTGCATGTGTATAAGCTTCTTTGTCCAACATAGTTTCTAGGAGTTTACTGTATTTTTCAATCCTTCTTAGATATCAAATAGGTGCTAAAGTTGTTATTAGAGGAAACTATACACTTTCAGTCCCTTTAACTTTTAACTTCTTGATGCCCCATATGATATCTAATTTTCCCAAGTGGCAAAAACTCAGCCATGGTATTTTGAATTTCTGTGTACTTACTGTAATTCTGCAACCACCAAGATTTGTTGTCCTGAATATTCCGGCATGAAATGACATTGGTGGTTGTGACCCTGGGAGAACAACTGTTCTCTCCCCGTTATGCTGGCTTTGGTTATCAGTTTGATGCTCATATATAACATCAATAAACTCCATTGCTTTAAGCCAAACTACATGGAGATTTTACCATTCCTACATTTGTGTCTTTGAAGCATTTCAATTCCTAGTCAGTAACATTTTGCCAAAGAGTGTTAATGTCTGAGGATCTTATGTTCAGGTAGGCTTGGCTATACATATCAGCATATATGAAATAATTTGGGCTAATTGGGTTTGCATATTTTGAGCATATATGCATTGAAAGAGTAAGTGCAAGTTCATTTTGGTCTTTTTTGGGCACATGGGACATGCTGAATCAATACTAATGTTCTGTGGATTTCTCATGAACTCCACTTACGGCATTTTATATTAACTGTTCGAAATGCAGTAAATTGCATTCTACAAACTTGCTGGCAATAGTTACTGACATTAATTTGGTATTTGAAAATGGATGTAGGTGCCTAAAAGTCATCGAACTACTGCAGTCATGCTGTGAAAAATGCAACTATAATTCAACACATTGTGCTTCCGTCTCTGGACTTTTGAAACAATCCCATGTAAGAAACCCTTGAGTTGTTGACATACATTGGGGATCATTGTCTCCTCTTTTATACATGAAATGAAAGCAAGTCCTTGGAAACCATACATTAAGAGAAGGTAGAAACTTTCCTCCTCTGCAACACATATCCAAATGCTTGTACAATGCTGCATGGTAGGGGTTGCTACTTGCTAGAAGCAGGTAAACCATACATTAACAAAGTGCAGTAGTTATAATAAAGAAGGAAAATTTGAAAGTATAGAGTAAGTTTAGAAAAGATTTCTTTTTAGGTTTCATAATCTGAACACAAGGATTCAATCTGCAAAATAACTACTTGCCTGCCTTACGTGGAACAAGGAAAAGTATGTTATACTCGGGAGGTGTTGTATTGAAAGTGTGATGTTCAGCTTCCAACAGATTTGATGTACAGTAGGAGTGAGCATGGGGAAGGCTTGGCTGAGCTTCTGGCCCTATAAATTTTAAATATATTGTATTCAATATATATAATATTATATATTTAGATGTACGTTATATATGCATGCCATCTATTGCATCCACGATCCATCACTTGAGAATATGTATCTGAAGTCCATCTGGATCGTCTGCATTTAGAGCTAGGGCCGGATTCATCAATATCCGAGTTCGACTCGATTGTGAATACGTTGCATCCGGACATCTTAATAGACTTGTTTATGGACTGGGCTGGGCCGGGTTTTGTTTATTTATCAATAGAAAATATTCAGGTCCAAGCTCGAGCCTGACCCGACCATCGGGCCTAGGTCTTGAGCCTGAATCCGGCCCTCATATAAAGTCGATGCTTGGGCCCTATTAGAATTTTGAAAATAGATTTTTTTTTATTTAATAAAAAAATATTTTATTTATATAATAAGGACAAATTTCTTAAAATACCAGAAATTGGTTAATTCTACACGTATCTTTTAATTTTCTGACAATTGCCTAAAATTTCGCTTATCGTGTTTGTGATAATGTTATAAATAGTAATGGCTTAAAACCCGTGCTTCAGGTTCACGACAACAGTTATGCCATTGTGGTCAGCATTGAGAACATTATCCAGAACTGGTATTTTGGGAACAATTGAACAAGTCCACCAATAGGTGTGGTACCAAATCGTGAGGATTCACCATGGGAATGATAAGGCATTATGTCAGGACTGAACTGAATGACGTCAATAAAGTTGGCGTCTAAGCGTCTCCCTGTCCATGGATCTCATGGCCATTGTTGGAGGAGCCCTTAAGATCAATATCGTCAGCCAACGGAGATCATTAAGTTATGAAAGAAGACGGAAACTCCATTGCAAGAAGCGTGCCAAGAAGGGCACTTCAGTTTAATATGGAGGTTTTATTGGAGGCCGAACCTTGGGTCATCACCATTAGGGATGGCAATGAGCCAAACTTTTTACGAGCTGAAATATGGAGGTGTTATTGGAAGTTGAACCTTGGGTCGCCGCTAGGAATGGCAATGAGCCGAACTTTTTATGAGATGTTCAAGCTCGGTTCGGTTTCAATCGAGCTCTAGCCTAATTCAGCGGCTCGATTATTAAACGAGTCGAGCTTGAGCTTAGTAAAGCTCAACTTGTGAATTTTTTACTCGAATAGAGTTTGAGCTCAAGGTTCTGGTTCGAATCGAGCTCGAGCCTTGTAGAATAGTCTCGAGCGGAGCTCGAGCTTGGTATTATTCGGCTTGGCTTGGCTCGACTCGAATCTATCCCTAGTTGCCACTGTTGGAAGGGTTTAAAATCCATCATATGGATGGCTGAACCATGTAAGATGGCTGGGAAAAATTTCAAAAAATTTTCTAACCTTTATGGGAACCAATTTCCTGATAAATTTGAAAACTAAATTTTCTGGATCAATCTTGCATTGAACCGAACCAGATTTGAAACCAAACAAAGAGGGAGATGCATACTTAATTACGGACTCCATAGATGTAGATATCAAGGTGGAAGTTTACGCTCAAATTAGTCCTAAATCTAGCATCCACTAAAGATGGCACAACGTGTAGGTGAAGTCGATTCAGCGACATTGTTTTCAACAAAACTGTGACCCAACTTGCTTGAATCGAATGAGGTAAGTTAGAGTAATTTTATTCTGAGTTTTTCTTGAAAAAACAAAGAAGAGAATTGATCTAAATCAGTTCTTAAAAGCTTTGGTCGTGATAGGGTTTCTTGAAAGACAAAAGAGAAGAAGAGAGAATAAGAGAGAACAAGAGAGAATGGTGTTTTAGCCTAATTTGCCCTCTTCTTCTTTTATTTCCTTATGGAGCACTTTCCTAATCAAATTAGAAAATTATCTAAATCTAATTTGGATCTAGACTCTATTAAGAGATAAGTCTTATCCTCTTAAGAGGATGGATTCTCCATACACATTTCCAAACCCAGAGCAAGTTGTCATGTCACAACTTACTTAATCTTATTAATTATGGGCCTTAGGTCTATTTACTTCACAGGTTCATGACCCGAGATGTTGCATGGCCAACTTAGGCTTGATTTATATGGCATGAGACCACACAATGACCTCACATAAGTCCACATGGGTTCGGCCCAATCTCTGTAAAAAGGCTTGGTCGAATTCACTACTAAATGCAATGAACCCTTGAGCACATCACTATGGGTCCAATATTTACACCTAAATGATAATTGAATTTAATAATCCGATAAAGACCCAATGATGGATTTAAGTAAAATAAAGCCCATCTGGTAATCAACCCTGTAGTGGTCTTTTACACTTAACCTTTCAACCAAGGTTCAAAGTATCGACACGTATTGACTGATACGTATCGTTCCGGGACCCTTTGATATGCCCCTATAGTGGGTGTATCGAGGGTTTGATTGGTTCAGGGGGGTAGAGGAGCCCTAAATCAGACCCTTAAACTAGTTGCAAAAAAAATAAAAATAAGGCTTCAAAAGCTGTATCGATTCACTCAATACACCCATACCAGTGTATCGGTCGTATCGATATTTTGAACCTTGCTCTCAACCCATAATGATCAAACACTACCCGATAGAGAATGACTTCTCCCCCGGCTACAAGGTGTAGTGTTACACTCTCTATTCGGATGGATCTTGGGAATTAAAACCTTTTGTAAACATTTTTCATAAAACACTAAATTATATATATATCATAAACATATTTTTCAAAATCAGATTTCAAATACAATTGAAATTCACTACCGGTAGTTTAGGTTTCCATTAGAGAGTGTAAATCCTATCATTCACTTTATCTGACAAAGGGGCCAATCCTATCACTATGATCACCTGGTGAATTGTTAGACTACCCCAACATATCTAGGTTTTGACTCTTGATGGATCTCATTGATTGGCATATCAAAGATAACCCAACCCAACACCTAGTGCAATACCATAATCAAGTTTGGGGGTTATGTAACTTTCTAGTTTTGCCTATTAATCTCAAAGGTCTATGACATAATTGGAAAATGGTCTAAGTTTAGTGTTTAAGCGCCCCCACCCCTAAAAAGCAAAAGTCACARGGGAAGCCATCACCCATCACTTAGAAAGGTGATTTCTTATTAGGAAACAGGACAAGAGTTTTGCCTCGATCCTTCGGTTAGCCTGCCAAAGCAATTACATTCTATTTCATATCCTCCTCTGGCAACAAGTTCTCGGTAATAATTCAGCAAAAGGAGGATTATTTAGAGCCGACTCATTCAAGCACACACTACATGTGCTTTAGGTCTAACCCTAGCAGCTGAGACAAGCTGTTCTAACTTTTTTGGTAGTACATAAGTGTCAACCTTGATAGAATAAAATCCCCAAGTCTATCCAATGCCTGAGAATATTCTAAACTAATACGAGTTTCATAAGTGTCCAGTTTAAGGGGTAAATACATAGAAACATACCAATATTAACATGAAATAATAATGTACTTTTATTCATTTACAATAAATGTATCTATGCATTAATCTGATTGGAGCTAAGGGCATACATTGTCTAATTAGGCTTGCAACATTTTCCGCTGTGTTAGTGGTTTAGTTAATGGGTTTGCAACATTTTCTGTTGATGTTACCTTCTTATCAAAGGGCTTTGATCTGCCTCCCCAACTATTTATCGACTTCTTTTCTAAATTCCTTGAACTTTTCAAATGATTTAGACTTATGTCTCATTAGGTACATGTAACCATACCGAGAATAATTATTAGTGAAAGTTATGAAATAACAGTGTTGGTTTCGTGTCCTAACATTCATGGGACTACATACATCAGTATGTATAATGCCAAGTGTAATCGCACTTTTTTCACAAGTTGGTAGATATTCCATAGTGAGAAAATTTAGATGACCATCCTTCACCAATCTTGTTATATATTCTTTATTAATATGGCCAAGTCAATAATGCCACTAACATGTGAGGTTAATTGTATCACATGTTCTTTTCTTGGACGACTTGTTACAGGTCTTTATTTATATATATAAACATCGTAACATGATAATATATAATTATATTAATCATTTATTTCAATGAATATTCTGTTCCACCATAAAGGTTTCGCTGAAAATTACAAGATAATAAATGAGTATTACCAACTAAATCTACATGAAACAGATGTTCAAATACTGATTCACATTTGCTACTGTAGATGGAAACAGGTGAAAGAGACGAATTAACTAGGTCAGATTATCCACTACTCGATCCATTTAACTAAAATGACATGTTTAATTGATCACTGATCAGATATGGTTTAATAGACCCATTTTTGAACCATTTGGTAATTTTTGGCACTTTATTGTTTCTTTTGATAATTTTTAAGTAATTAACTGTTTTTTGGTAATTTTAAGGTAAGTTACTCTTTTCTGGTAGTTTTTAACTAAAATATATTACTATTTTAGATAATTCACTGCTTTGGGTAATTTTTGGTATTTTTAACTATAAAATAATTAATTAAAAATTACCTAAAATTACTTTTGGTAAGAATTAAAAACATATTAGTAAAAGTTACCTAATTAGTAAAAAATTAATATTAGGTAATTTTTACTAGTAATATTTTACCTTTTTTAGGAAAAAATTAAGAATAATTTTTAGGTTTTTTTTAAGTAAAAAAGTATTACTATTTTAGGTATTTTTTAACTAAACTTA